TTAGTGTATGTTGTGCAAGGTTATCGTTGATTGTTTAGGGGTTAGCCTAACTTGAGGATATGCTTAGGTGCAGGTGCTAGGTCATTAACTGAAGATGAGCAATTATACATTAGGTTGTATAAACGTGGTAAGTAAAGTGATTTGAATAGGGCTTAAGTCGGAATATGTAAACTACAGCGAACATGTGCATTCCCCGAGCATCCCTGACATTCGTTCATATGCATCCATGATATTTATCTTGCGCATTCATGCAATAGGTGTGCCGGAGGGAGTGACGTTGCTGGAGTTCGAGGGAGCCAACCAGGAGGAGGAACCCGAGGTGCAGGAAGCCGACGAAGCAGTCGCCATGGAGGATTTGCCCGAGTGCCCTGACCACCAGCCTTCCTCGTTCCTGAAAGGCAAGCCCCGGAGCATATTAAGCCACCCATTGTTTTACAAATACTTTGAGTACCTTTTATTGTTGATGATGCATTAAGTATAGGAATTGGTTGGTACCAATTGCTGCATTATACATCCTTCCTTGTCTAGATATCGCACTGGAATCCTATTTAAGTTCATGAACGGGTTAAATGCTTAGCCATGCGTCTCATGGTAGAAGTCGTGTGATTTTCTCATCACCGCAAGCTTTAGGATGAGGTGGATCACGGTTGGCTATATTTGCTATCGTGGAAAAGAACCATGTGAATAATGAATTAAGACCGGCGGGGTCTTGTGTAGGTTTGAACATAGTGACTCCGTCGAGTCGTTTAAGGACCGATCTGTTGTCGTCCTCATGTCATGTTGAACGCAGCCTAACACTTAGCTGGCCGGATAAGTCGTTCGACCGCTGGAAGCCTTAGTAGCTCGACTCAGGCCGAGGACGCGAGCAGTGGCGGCATTCTCGAGGTAGTAAGGATGTGCGGAGAGCCATTAGCATAAGTCCAAGGCGGGTTAGAGTCCCGAACAACCTTGGCAGAGTAGTTCTCTCGAGAATGTCGATCCGATCGGACTCACGACTCTGAATCGTACCAAAGGTGACTTGTTTGCGACTCGACGGGAGAAGCGGTGGTTTGTGTTTAGGAATACCCTCTAGTGGATAGGAATCGATTCAAATCGCCATCTCTCCGGATAGTGAGAACTTGACCGAGCAAATGCAACGTAGATTCAATTAATTTAACGATATGGTTAAATGGATGATGATGATAAGGTTGCCACAATGAATACCGATATGGTTATTAATGTTTGCACCCTAATATAATGATTGCTTAAATACAAAAGCTAATATAGTTGATGTGTTAATGGCTAAAAAGTCACTTGCTAGTTTAGGTTAAGAGTTAATCATTATTACTTATGCTTTTCTCGCAAAAAAGAAAGTGTCACTAGATCCACTACATTAAGCTATACATAATCCTTGGTGTCATTTATTTTGGTTTCAAGTGGTAAGTCTAGTGAGTACATTCCCGCACTCGTGGTTTATTCCCTCTTGTTGCGATGACCTTCTATATCGTGGATTCTGTAAGTATTGTCTCCACCCGGCAGGTGATGAAGACTAGATCATGGGCATGATCTTTGTTCTCTTATCTGAATGCTTTTGCGGGCTATGATCAGCGAACCAGTATGTGTATTTGAACTCGAGTGTGTGAGTTAAACTATTTGCTTCCGCAGGTTTTACAAGACTTGTTTTGTAATAACGATGACTCTGTGATGATGTAGTCTATTTGCGAACGTCTACGAAATGTTGTAATGTACGATATGTTATGTTAAATTACTGTGATCTTGGTTGTATGCAAGTTGGTTTGAAATCCTTCGAGATTTCAGTTGACTACCGGGTTTATATGGGCTCAAGTTCGAGAATTTGATCGTTTTGGCGATTGTTTTTGTACTTGTGCTCTTATAAATTGGTCTATTCTGTGACAGTTATAGATACATAGAGTAATAGGCCAAGTGCTATGACTACTGCTCTGCTTCCCAAAAGGATTCATACCTTCCGTACTTAAAGCAAACCTTAAGTTTCTTGCGTCATTTACAAACTTCAGGAATTCTCTATCGATTGCTCTCCATTGGGACCCATCAGCAGGGTGTCTCAACATATTGTCTACCTTACGGTTTTCTTTGTGCCATCGCAACAACTTTGCATGGTCTTTGTTTCTGAACAGACATTTCAAGCGTCGTATTATAGGAGCATACCACATAATCTTGGCAGGGATTTTCTTCGTGGGACGTTCGCCCTTAATATCACTAGGGTCATCTCGCCTGATCTTATACCGCGATGCATGACATACCGGGCATGCATCTAACTTCTCATACTCCTCGCCACGGTAGAGGATGCAGTCATTAGGACATGCATGTATCTTCTGGATTTCTAATCCCAAAGGGCAGACTACCTGTTTTGCTTTGTACGTAGTGGCGGGCAATTCGTTATCCTTCGGAAGCATCTTCTTTTGGATTTTCAGTAACTCCCCAAATCCCTTGTCAGATACACCATTCTTTGCCTTCCATTGCAGCAATTCCAGTGTGGTGCCCAACTTTTTCTGCCCCGCATCACAAGTTAGGTATAGCAATTTCGTGTGATCCTCTAGCATGCGCTCGAACTTGATCTTCTCCTTTTCACTTTCGCATTCTCTTTGTGCTTCACGAATGGCTTGACCAAGATCATCTGCGGGCTCATCTTCTGCCCCTACCTCTTCTTCAGCTTCCCCTATTGTAGTATCATTGAAGGCACCATATTCCACAATAATGTCATCATCGTCCCGTTATTCTTCTTCACCTTCTTCCATTACAACCCCGGTTTCTCCGTGCTTCATCCAACAAATATAGTTTGGCATGAAACCCGACTTCAACAAGTGTGAATGAAGACTCCTTGAGCTAGCATATTCCTTCAAATTCTTACATATGGCACATGGGCAGCACATGAAACCATCGCGTTTGTTTGCCTCGGCCACACATAAGAAAGAATGCACGCCCTCAATGAACTCTTGGGAGCGGCGATCAGCATTATACATCCAATACTGGCTCATCTGCATTACATGACATACATACCATATTAAAACCTAGAACATAATTAGTTAATTAAATGACATGCATGCCATCACACAAAGTATTAATTTATGAAAGTCTCGCTACAATATAGACAATCCCAACTACCACTAAAAAAACTAAAGCTAAAATGCACTTCAGCAGCATAAGGATTTCGCGACCAATCATAACTAAAACAGACAGATCATGCGTTTGTTCAACATCTATGGGCTTCTTCCGTAGGATCACTGCCTCTTCAACCGCCGTAGCCGCCTGTGCAATAGATTTTTTGCACGTGCTCAACATACTCTTCCTTCCAGTACCAGCCTGAACATCCAGTGCCTTCCCACTGAAATTAAAACAAAAAATTAGAACTTTAATCATAATCATCATGAAAATAAGTATAAATTAACCATAATCATCAAATGCGACAAAATAACTCACATTGCGATCCGGACACTTGTATAAGATACGACCCTTGTTGGGACACTTCTTCCTCACCCGGTACTCCATCACAATCTTCTCCTCACACTTGCTGCATGCAATGAGAGGGAGGTCCAGCCTCAATCGCTTTGGAACCCGATGAGAGGCCGAGGACCCGGAAGCAGTTGACATCTACTCTCTATACTCACTTTTAATATAATATAAATTTCTCATTTTATAAACAAATAAAATTAAAAAAACTCTAAAATTCTCTATATCTCTAAACCATGAAGTGTGCTATGCATGCTAGAAATGAAAGCTGAATACTAGTTTTGAATAACTACTTTAACCTTCCTTTATCCAAATATGCAAACTTTAAAGTGTTTTTGAGCTTAAATGGCTTACAAATAAAAAAATCCACCATAAAAACCACATATATCTAGTCCACAAAATGAGATATGCTACTGATGAAACATGAGAGTATAAAGTTGGTAACCTTTAGAACCGAAGAATCGATGGAGGAATTGAAGAAATCTTGTGATTACCGGCGATGAGGAAGAAGAGAGGTCGGCGATGAAGCAAGAACACTGAGCTCGAAGTGGCTCGGGCTCGGGGCGGAAGAAGGGGTATATAGGAGGGGACCTTTAGTCCCGGTTGGAGACAACAACTGGGACTTAAGGTCCCTTTCTAGTCCCAGACGGAGCCTCCAGCCGGTAGTAGACTTTTACTCCCGATTGGAGGGACCAACCGGGAGTAAAAGTTAACCTTTAGTCCCGGTTGGTAGCTTGAACCAGGACTAAAGGTCAACTGCAGCAAAAGCCTGCCGCAGTAGCCGTTGGGCAGGGACCTTTAGTCCCGATTGGAGCTACCAACTGGGGACTAAAGGTTTCTCTAGTCCCGGGCACGAAAAATACCGGGGCTAAAGCCAAATTTAGTCACGCGTACACGCATAGATCGGCTCCATATCCTTTTTTCCACGCGTCTGTGGCTCGACACCAGCGACTTCATGTCCTCGTTCCTTATTTCCATGCTCTGAACGTGTGGACACCACATACAACGGGTGTAGCCAGCACCAGCAGGATGGACCTTCAGCGGGCGCCCATCTGCTGTCATCGTTTTCTTTCGCCCATGCCTCCATATCCCTCCTAACTCGCTGTGGTACCGGTACCCATGAACATCAGTCCTGCTGCATGCGTAACCTGGTTCTATTTCCAGTTGGGAATTATGGCACGGTAAAAGTCCATTTATGTAGTAATGCCTCTATTTTCTTTTGAAAGATCCTGTTCCCAGCTCTGATTTATAATATGAACAAGGTAGCAGACAGCTGTTACATGCGCGAGGGGCGCTACCATCCGCAGCCTAGGCTGTGGAGGTTTGAGGTTCTACATGAGCTTATTACATACTAGGGAGTTGTACAACCGTTATAAGCTTAAGTTCGCCACCACTAGCTCCTGAACAGCATTTAATCCACCTTTCCCAGAACATAAGCTTTCCTAACTCCACCGGTAGGAGACCTGCTAGTACTAACTCTAGTCTACAATACATGGATCATAGACGCAACAACACCGGTTTGCATCTAAGCTTCAGGGAAGCTCCATCTCAAACTCCTCCGTCTCCTGTGCAATAGCCGTTAGTGCTTCGGCCAAATTCTTGTTGCTCAGGCGTGTGGCAGCCCTGATTGCCATAACAGCCTGCTCCGGCAGATCATCAGCATACATATCCACATAGGCGGTGACAGCTGCATCAGGCGCCGGCGACGGGTTGTTGATGAAGTCGAGTTCGCGCATCAGCTTCCTCTGGGCCTGTTTAGCCACCAGCACCATAGATGGGCGCGCCGCGAGACGCAGGCTCGAGCGGGTAGCGACCATGTTCTTCCGCTTCCTTCCCATGCGTTTGCTGCAGACCCGTTTAGGTGGGGAGGTTGGGCGTGGGAGCAGTGGTTCAGGGACGCTCTTGAAGATGGCGCGCAGAAGTCATGGACGAGGTCGTGACCCACCGCGGGGTCTCCCTCCACTACCGGAAACCGGCACTTTGCCGAGTGCCGGAGGCTTTGCCGAGTGTATTTTATCGGGCACTCAGCAAAGACGGTCTTTGCCGAGTGCCAAATAAAATACACTCGGTAAAAAAACACTCGATAAATATGTCTTTGCCGAGTGTTTTTTTCCGGCACTCGGCAAAGATGTATTTTGCCAAGTGTCATTTTTCGGCACTCGGCAAAATAAGTCTTTGACGAGTGTCGTTTTTCGGCACTCGGCAAAGATGTATTTTGCCAAGTGCCATTTTTCGGCACTCGGCAAAATGCGTCTTTGCCGAGTGTCTTTTTTCTGGCACTCGGCAAAGAGGCATTTTGCCGTGTGCATTTTTTTGGGCCCTCGGCAAATCATTTTTTCAAAGCAATTTTTGAGGCCCTAAATGAATTCAAATGAAAAACTTTTCAACTACAAAGTTGTATAACTTCTCAAGATCTACAAAGTTTATTTTGGTCATTTCTTCATTTGACAAAGCGACAATAACGTTGTTCATAAAATCTACATCTCTCTCATATCTCTCATATTAGTTTCATGAAAGTAGAAGAGAGATATATAAGATTTGTGAATAATGTTACTATTACTATGTCGGATGAACAAATGACCAAAATAAATTTTGTAGATCTTGAAAAATTATGAAATTTTGTAGTTGGCAACATTTTGATTTGAAATCATCTTGTCATGCAAAAACAACGTTTGAATTTGAAAATTTGAAAATTTGAATTTTTCAAAAGACCTTGGATGGAAAAACTTCCTAAATGAAAATTGTAGATCTCCAAAAGTTATGAAACTATGTAGTTGACAACTTTTTGATTCGAAATCATCTTATCATGCAAAACTACATTTGAATCTCTTAAATTTGAAATTCGAATTTTTCAAACGACCTCGGATGCAAAAACTTTCTAAATTCAAATTATAGATCTTGAAAAGTTATGAAACTTTATAGTTGACCACTTTTTGATTTGAATTCGTTTAGGGCCTCAAACAAGCAATTTACTCTTGGTTTAGTATAATATATGAGAATAGATAACGGAATCTAGACACAAGTCACAGTGTAGTGCAGTGGTAGAGCAGCAGACACGCGAGGGAGAGGTCGTGAGTTTGAATCCCGCTAGCCGTGTTAGCAGCGAATTTTGCGAAAAAATGCAGTGACTTCGATGGAGATGGGCGGACGCAGGCCGGTGGCGGCCTCCCCCGAAAAAAAAATTTGCTATTATTTTTGGGGTTTTTTGCATTTTCATTTTGCCGAGTGTAAATCTTTGCCGAGTGCTTTTCCGACACTCGGCAATGGCTTTGCCGAGTGCTCGACAAAAAGCACTCGACAAAGCCTTCTTTGCCGATTAATTTTTTGCCGAGTGCCTTTTGCCGAGTGCGGCACTCGGCAAAGCCTTTGCCGAGTGTATTTCGGGCTTTGCCGAGTGCGGCACTCGGCAAAGCCTTTGCCGAGTGTATTTCGGGCTTTGCCGAGTGCCGCACTCGGCAAAGCCACAAATTCCAGTAGTGCTCCTTGATAGATCGATGCTCGGTGTAGTAGACGCGTGCACCGTCGCCGTGTCAACTTCGATATGGGCGACACAATGGGAGGTGTCGTCTACCTCACCGTCATCCGAGCACCTGTCACTACTAGAAAACAGACCTTTCATCCCGCCTCTATTTTTGCCTTTAGTCCCGGTATTTTTGTGTTCGGGACTAAAGGGACTATTAGTCTCGGTTGTATCCTCAAACAAGGATACAAAGTTCCTGCCCCAAGTGTGTGGCGACGGCAGGCAATAATTAGTCCCGGTTATAGCCCAGAGTCGGGACTAAAGGTTATCCTTTAGTCCCGGCTGGACCCTCTAACCAGGAATAAATCTTTACTCCCGGCTTGAGGCTCCAGCCGGGACTAAAGGATGACCTTTAGTCCCGGCTCTGGCTATAACCGGGATAAAATCTTTCTTGATAAAATAATATAGTGGCGCTGGGCAAAAAAATGGGGCAGCCAGGCATTGAACCCACGACCTCATAGCCAAGGTCCAAACCGCAGCGCACTAGCTAGCCATCTGAACTAAGTCACTTTCTCGACAAGAAAGCACCCAAATATTTATTTAATAAGAGAAAAGACCCTTTAATTGATTATATTCTTTTGTTAACTATACTTTGAATTTTCTGGTCCATATGCTTTCTAGTGCCTGATTGATCTCATAATTTTTATCAGGGTTTCAAATGCCCAGTGTGAAGCCACCACCAAGTTTGAGATTTTTCTGAATTGGTTTGGTAATTTTTTCACTTTAATTGAATTTCCACGCGACTTCACTAATTAATTATACGTTGAACTGAGTCCACCCCCGAAAAGATCCGGAATGGTGCCAAACTTTGCCAAATGGTCTCTTGTGCCCTAGGAGACAAATATTTGTGGAGGTTGATGCAAAATTATATTGTTTTCAATATGTAATTCACCGTATTTCGTCTCACGCGGCACAAAGAAAAATGTAATAATAAAAATAATTATCAAAAAAATCTAAGATCTTGTGTGGGGCCATATTTTGGGTGTAAATGACTACCAAAAAAATTTCAAGCCATTTCGACATAGGCGGAGACGACTTGCTTCACATAGGTATATACAACCTTTCGTCGAACCCTATCTATACACCTAGGTTCTCAGGGACTCTGAAGTCCATTTGCTTTCCAGTGCCGGATTGGTCTCAAACTTTTTCTCAAGACTACAAATGCCCTGTGTGTAGCCACCACCAAGTTTGAGATTTTTCTGATGTGGTTTGGTACTTTTTAACTTTAATTGAATTTCCGCCCAAACTCACCGATTAATTATACAATGATTAATGAAGAACCTAAAGATTTACGTTACAATTACGTGAAAACTAATTTCCTATCGAAAACCAACAAATTTAATAATTTCAATTAAAGTCTACATTTTTGCATTAACGAAAATAGTGAGTATTAGTTGCATTATGTTCAACATTTATAATAAAAACACAATAGTTTAGGTCACATATTTGTTTTGTATGCAGTAAATGAAAATAAAGTTTATTACTTTTTCTAAAAAAATTTATGCCTAGTATTGAATTTACTGCGCAAATAATAAGACTTAAACATTTAAATACAAAACATATATAAAATAAACTGATCTGCTTAAAAGTTGGCGGGAAATGAAAATGTAGCCCACCTTTAGTCCCGGCTCCTGCCACCAGCTGGGACTAAAGGTGGGCTGCATTTAGCAGCCCGCCAATAAATCCTTCAGTCCCGGCTCCTTCCAACAGCCGGGACTAAAGGTCCCCCTTTAGTCCCGGCTGGTGGCAGGAGCCGGGACTAAAGGTGCTTTAGTCTCGGGCGGTGCATGGAGCCGGCACTAAAGGTCCCTCTCCTATATACCGCCGCCTCCCTTCTCTCTTCCTCCTCATCGATCGTCTTCATCTTCAGCGCGTCCCCAGAGCTCCGCCACCGCCGATTCGCCTCCCCGGCCACCCCCGACGCCACCTACTTCCTCACCGGAGGGCACCCCGAGGCTCGCCCACCTCGTCGGAGTAGCCCCGACGCCGCGCCCCTCATCGAGGAGCCCCTGGCCGCCCCCGACGCCGCGCACGCGCCACGCCGCCGCCGATTTCGCCTTCCCGGCCACCCCCGACGTCGCCTTCCTCACAGGAGGGCACCTCGACGCTCCACCACCTCGCCGGAGTAGTAGCCCTGGCGCCCCTCAAGGAGGAGCCTCTGGCTGCCCCGATGCAGCAAGCCATCCACCACCGATTTCGCTTTCCCAGGCCACCGCACCTTCTTCCTCACCGGAGGGCATCCCGACGCCCACGCACACCTCGCCGGAGTAGCCCCGACGACGCCGCGCCCGGCCAGGAGCCCCCGTGCCTCGATCCAGCGCCGCTGTCCACCACCGCCCGTCGCCAACACTCCATTAATTCTATATATTATATATATTATATTTATTATATTTATTATATTTATGAATTATATTGATGAAATATGTATTAATGTATATATGTATGAAATTATATATGTATGAAATGTATATATATAGATATCAATTAATGTATATATGTATGAAATTATGTATGTATGAAATGTGTATATATATATATCAATTAATGTATATATGTATGAAATTAATGTGTGTGTATATATATATATCAATTAATGTATACATGTATAATTTTTCCTTAGGAAAAAAATCAATTGTATTATATTCTGATACCTTGTGGCCTATACCCTAAACCACCCTAAACCCTAAACCACCCTAAACCCTCCCCGGCCACCGACGCTGGTCGGCCGCCCCACGCAGGCACCACCGCCCCGAAATGTGTATGAAATGTCTATGAAACCCTAATTGCATAATTATTGTTTTATAATTGTTTAGGCTCTCTATGGCCGACCCGAGAGACGATGACCTGGAGGCGGAAATGATGGATATTATCAACGCCAAAGATCAACATTGTGTCGATGTTGATAATGACCAAAGAGGAAAGACGACGAGTCAATACTTGAATCTCGATCATATTGTTGAGGAAGTTGTTCATGAAGATAATTCCGGCGAGGTATATATTTCTCAATATCTAGCTCTCATTTATTTATTTTGCATACATGTAGCCCAATGGATCGACCTTCGTTTTATAATACTTTTGTGTTTCTATATGTACATAGCCGTCTGCGGATCGATTTATTTACGACGGGGAACACAAAGAATGTTCGAGGGCCAAAAAGCCGTTGGAAGGTCACTACATCATCTCGTAATTCAACGTGGCTACAAAGAACCACTAGGACAATATGCACGTAAATTCATGTACCATTGTGGGTACCTTTGTAAGGACAAGCTCCCGATCAATGCCCGCGAATGGAAAAAAATAACAATGCTCCTCATATTA